AAAGGCCACAGATAACAGCAAGGAATGGGCAGGTGCTGGGTGGAGCAGTGACAACACCAAGGCCACACCACAGATAAGGCCACCAGGCAGACACAGAGCAAGAGCGATGTGATGCAATCTGGCTTGGCCTCCTGCCATTGTTGCCCACTGAGATGGAAAGCCTGCAAACAGCAGTGCAGTCACCTCGGAGGCAAAGGTGTGATAAGGGCTTACGATGTGATTAGTGATCCTGGGTGGGCAGTGTGGACACAGGTGGATGGGTGCCAGCGAGTGCGTGGGAACAAGCACAAAGGCAGGGGCAATGCCACGAGGGAACAAGCGTGAGATCAGTTTTGGAAGCAGAAGTCTCCTTCTTTGTCATTTCTGACTCCAGCAGAGTTTCTCTGCCTTGCTTGGAGCAAGACTAAGTCTCCAGCTCCACAGGTGAGCCCAGGACCTTCATACCTGCCCCTCCTGCCCTTCTTGCAGGGCTGAGGCTGGCAGAGGTGCAGGGAGGAAGCAGCAGAGCCAAGACCCTCACTCCTGCCCTAGGAGAAGCTGGAGGGGAGTCCAAGCCCCCTCCCCCTGCCCCACCGCCGCAAGATACAAAGGATGGGGAGCAGCTCCTCCATGTGCCTGCTGTGCTACTGGAAGCCTGGGTCCCACTGGGGACAGCAGAAGTGTGCCCCTCTTTGTGATACCTGCAACATGGAGGAGAAAAGCCCAGGCTCAAATGTGTGACTGTCTCAGGCACAGCTGGAGCTGCATGGCCAATGTGAGGGTGAACAGCCACCAGAACTCCTCCTGTCCCGCTTGAGGAAGAATTTCCCCACTTCTTCTTTGAGGAGGACAGTAGGCAGGGCTTTCGTCAGGGGCTGCAAGCCTGTGCTTGAGAGAAAAGCAGGAAAAGACAAAACTAGTTTGCAAGAGGTGATTTCCCCATTGTCATCTTTTAGCATGTCATTTTAATTTGCTCTGTGAAGGCAGCAGCATTTGAATACCACTGAGGAACTAGGTGGAGGGAGATAAAGCCTCACATTGGCCAACAGCTTTTCCCCAGCACCACACGATCTACTGCCTCCAGCACAGAGGGGATGCAGGTGTTTCCTGCTGCCCTCCATCCAAGGGGAGCGATCTGGAGCATACAATGTGTCCCAGCTGCACAGCCCCAGCCCATCACTCCTGCGCTGCCACTAGCATGACCCAAAGAGCCAGGCCATGCTCGGCACTGGTGGCACAGCCTGGTTCTCTGCAGTGGCAGCACTGGAGGCATTATGATCAGAATTTGGGTGGGGTTTTTGGTAGTAAAAACATTGAAGACCACAAAAGCCCATGACAGCTGCCATCCAGGGCTGTGCTGAGTGTTGGTGTAGGAGCAGCTTGCAGGAGGTGGTCCCATGATTTCCACATAGTTGAGTCACGTCTGGGACCAGATTTGCAAGGTGGGTGCCCAAGGAAATACGTCTGCCTGTGCCAGAGAGTGAGAGCTGGTGTATTGCCAGGAACCAGCGTGATGGTGGCAGGGCCCTCCAGGGCTTACCCACCAAACCTCATGCACAGCAGGGCTTGATCAGGGCATTCGCGGCTTTGTACATGGCCCACCAAGGATGGAGATCTCCCACCTCCCTGCTGGTCTGAGTTACTCACCCTCTGGGGAAAGGTGTCTGTCCTAACTCCAAACCTGAACATCTCAGGACTGCAGTCTGTGCCCATTGCTTTTTATTGGGTCACCTGGGACTATGAAGAAGAGGTTGGCTCCATCAACTGCCCTTCCAGCAGTTGTAGGCTGCTATCAGATCCCCCCTTGGCCTCCCCTGTACTAGACTAAACAAGCCCAACAGGGCCCCATGTGCCTCAGGAACAACTGCTAATGCAGTTAAATATTTACTTTAGTTGAGGGATTTCCAAAGTGGAATAATAATAATAAAAGCCAAAGGTTATTGAACTGTGTAAACTGCATGAAGAGGGAATATAAAACATGTGCACAGCCGCCTCGGCAGAGAGAAGGGATGGTTCTGCAAGGGGAATGCTGAATTGGTCACTTTCGCCCTTCCCAAAACCCAGCCACAGCCCTGCTGAATTGGGTGGAAGAATCACACAAGGGCAAGGATGGCCCTTTGGCCACAGGGGATGCTCACCAAGCTGTTCCCTCCTGTCTCAGCCAGCTGGGGCCAGCATGTACTTTCCTAAGCCTCAGGTAAGACTGTGGGAAAGAAGTGTCCTAAGCACGGTCATGGTCAGCTTCTCAGCAAGTGGAAATGTGCATGCTGTGGATGTCTGGAGCTCTCCCAGCCCTCTGGTGGTTTCTGTAGGACACGTACAACCAGGCTGCCCCTTGTGCACAGAGCCCCCCCTGCCATTCCCAGGGTGAAGGAGGCCCTCTGTCACTTCTGGGCCACACTTCATCTCAGCAAATCTGTCCCAAAGGAGTTTTTGGTCAGCACCGATCTTCAGCTTCTTCTCCAACTTTCCACCCAGAGGTCCCCTTTTCTATCCTTCACACTTCACCAAGTGATTTTGATTCACCAGAGGAAGGTGGGGCCAGATGCGGAAAATTCAGCTTCTCAGAAAGAGGTGGTGAGGATGGTCACAAGGAAAGACTGATGTCAAGCATTCAGTCTTGTAGGCAAAGTAGCTGTTGTCTTCTGGGGTGGTGATGCTTGCTGAGGAATCCTCAGCTGAAGAGTTGGCATCTCTTACCACTGAGGATCCTCTCCAGCCTCTCTGTCCCCTCCCTGCTGTATATGCCACATTTGTGTATTTAAACTGGGTATCCATGCACACAGCCCCCTTCCATTGCACTGAATCTTAAGATAAAGATCATTTTGCTCTGTTGATCTCAGCTACAACTGTTTATGTGACCAAGCTGATGAGCGGAGCAAGGTATTTAACCTCCCACAACGATGGGTAGAGGAGCACAGGCAGCTGCTGCACCTGCAGCTCCTTGCTCTCACTCAGCTGAGTTTCATTCCCCCTACCCCCTCTGTGCCCCAGCCTGTCCCATCCCACCCAGTCTTGGGTTGGGCTTGCTGAAGCATGATGGCAGGCCTCCTGTGTGTTTGAGGTCTCCCTCCTGGGGTCCTGCCCAAGGCATCAGGCAGCTGAGCATCCCGCTGTCCGGGTCTCACGGGATAACGCCAAGGCCACAGCACAGCCACCCAAATCAGCCTTTTCCATGTGAAGCCTTGCAACCCAAATGGAGATACCTTGCTACAAATGAAGAATGGCATCTGCAAAGCTGGAGGGCTGGTTCAGGCAAGATACACCCGGAAGTAAGCTGGCTGGGTGAAGCAGAGAAGATCAGTGCTTCCCAACCCTGGACTACAGCGCAAAGGGAGCGGAAAGCAGCCTCCAGTGCCGGCACCTGGAGCTGTCAGGTGGCACTGGGGTGGCTTATCAGTTCCATGAGAGTGCCCAAGCGGTCCCTCTAGGTGCACAGCCCCGCTGTTCCCAGCGCAGATCAAACGCTGCTCAAAATGTTGCTTTTCCCAGTGCCGCTGAGATAAGCTGGTGCCCTCCCCTATAAAGGCAGCCACGAGTGGAGCGAGGTGCACGAGCGCGTGTGCCTGAGCCGATCATGCCTGCGAGGGAGCTGGTGGTGGTTGTGGCAGTGGCAGTGGCACTGGTGACTCTTGTCACTGCCAGCGGTAAGTCTGCTCTGCTGCCAGCAGCTGGCTCTTTGGTGGCGGGTTGGGAACCACGGAGGGACCAAAAATGGGGGGAAGGGCAGAAGGACCCAGAAATTCTGGTTTGGAGAGGAGGTACGGAGGGCAAGCAAACACAGTGGCAGCATGGTGGGGAAGAAGGACGGGAGCAAACACACCATGCCTTATCAGCAGCTCAGGGCAAGAGTTACAGGCTGGTTTGTGAACTATATTGCACTCGGGAGAGGAGTGGGGAAGGGGACAGCCCACAACATGAACAGGAACCAGGTTCTCGGAGGGCAGCACGTACACTGGGGTGGCAGCTACTGTCATTCCTGCCTTCATGAAGACTTGCAAGTCTTTGCAGTGTATTTATGTGGGAAGTAGCTGTTTGTAGGCTCTGGAAAACTGGTGCTACCTAGGTGCACGTAGTGGTGGTCCTGTGGGGGCTTGTGTGTGAGTCCTTATGCTCCCAGGACATTCGTGCACTGCACAGATGGGCTGTGAACTGTTGCTACTGTTCCACCTGACTGCAGAAAAGGAACCAGCTGAATGTAGCTCTCCCTGGGGGTGGCTGTTGTCTGCCTGTGCAGTGTCACCCAGCTTCATCCCTCTGAAGATACCTCGTGTCCCCATGCAGCACTGCATGGGTTCACGTTTCCTGGGATGTGCTGGATGCTCTATGGAGCTCCTGGTCCAGAGACTGGAAGAGAGGGCTGTTGGGTGAGGAATTAGGGGGTGGGAACAGGGGCGCTCCCAGCTTTGTCCCAGCCGGCTCAGCTGCAGATGGAGGCTGTGCACTGTGCTGTTGGGAGGGG